TAAAATTGAACAAAAACAACATCTTGAAAACACATGGCTTTTTGATTGCTGTTTAACACTTGAACCACGCAAACACACTCACACACACTGGAATGTCCAGATAACACACCTCTCCTCTCCTCATTTGAAACGGTTGAGTTCGGCTCTGTTATTTGGCTGTTCGTGATCTCTCATGAGCAACAGCATTTGATTTAACAGTCAGATTTCCTGCTCTGTTACAAGCTCCTCCAGTCAACATAAACCACCTGTCAGACATCACAGAAAGCCAAATAACTCTCTCTGTTTTTTGCATTTGGCATGAACATGAAAGAAGTTTGTTAAAGTGCAGTGAATAATGCCTTGGTGGTGAAAACAGCTTAAATTATTGATTAAAGTTTGACATTGCAAGACTGCTAAATTGCAAAAAAAAGTTAAATGATGCTTGAACATATAGTGAACAACTTTACAGCCTCTAAATTACACCCACATTTCCAGCATGTTATAATATTAATTCTATTACAGTTTTTGTTTTAACATAATTTTTTTCTATTTTCTGTTTTCACTTTAATTTGAGTTAAAGTTTAGTTTAGTAAGTTTTAATCATTTTATTGTGTTTTTGATATATCATTTTGAATATATATATTTTTAAATATATCTATACAGTTTTAAACATTTTTATAGTAAAATAATAAAAATAAAAATGTTTTTAATTTATGAAACTTTCTTTAAACATTAGTATTTCTTGCGTTACAACATTCAGGAAACATTTAAAAGTGCAAAATAATAAAATGGAACATTCCCTTAAAAAAAACATTTTTTATGGTAACACTTTACAATGAGGTTCTATTTGTCAATGGTAATTAACTGCATTACTTAACATAAACTAATAATGAAAATACTTTTAAAGCATTTATTAATCTTATTTAATGCTAATTTTAACATTTACTAGTATATTATTAAAATCAAAAGATTTATCTGTTAATATTTAATGGATCTGAGTTAACAAGAACAATGAACATTTGTATTTTGATTAACTAATGTTAACAAAGATTAACGAATACTGTAATAAATGTATTGCTCATTGTTAGTTAATGCATAACTAATGTTAACTAATGGGGCCTCAATGTAAAGTGTTAGCATTTTTATTTATTAGTTTAAGTTTTGTATAGTTTTAGTTATTTTAGTACTTAAACTAAATGAAAATGAGGAGATAGCTAAAATATATAAAGTTTTTTTATATTTCATTTTATTTAGTTAACATTTATTTTATTTCAAGTAACATTTTTCATGGTTTTAGCTAACTTTAATAAGCCTGGTTATTTAAAGATTACATGTAATTTTTTTCTATAGTTATGCAGAGAAACTGGTTCAAGTTCAATGTATTATTTTATTGAGTTACCAATGTTGGATAATTGAATAATAGGATAATGTGTGAACTTCTTGTTAGACAGATTACGTTCAATTTTCCCGGGACACAGGGTTGTCACCTCACACAAACCACCCACACATTCTGGTATGAATTTCATTTCCTTTCCATTTGTAGACTTTCATTTTGTCAGCGAGGGATATTGGAGAGGAAAACACAGTTGTGGTTTAGGAACTGAGAAGATTGAATTCGGTGATTTCACTGTTGACGCTTATTGCGAACAGTTGTTGCGCCCAACACAAAGCCGGAGAAAAGCAATGTTTTCATTAGTTTAAGACAAAATGGCACAGTAGCTAAATCAAGCCTATGCATGACTATAAGAACCAGACCTTTTTGATCGGACAAGGATCGGAATTCGAGTGGTTAGATCGTCAAAGCTGAGAATAACGATACACTTCAATTATCCGATTTCTTAATGTTAACGTAACGGGACAGCTATAGGGGAGAACATAGGAGACATTTAAGACCCCGGAGACCTCAATTGCATCCAGATTCAAGTTTTTAATCTCGCAGTTGTTACTGTTACGATAATTGTCCATGAGACAGTTCATCAAATGCTGACAGATAAAAAGCATGAGATGGCCCCTTTCGTCTGTGTCTTCAGCATTGAGCCATCAGCCTCAGTTCCTCATGGTGTTTATGGGCTCTGTTGGGGAAGAACATTGTTACACTTGTATTTATAGGCATTGTGGTTGGGTCTTTTGTAACGTGATAGTGTGTAGTGCAGTAAGCCACAAGAGCTCAAAGATGAAGCCACGACTCACTATTTTCACTATGTTGACTATGATTTGTGTTATCGTACACAAACCCTGGAACGTCATTACAATAGGGGAGGTTGAGCAGAAAGCCGTATATGATATAGAACAGACCACATGAGCGAAAGAGAGCGCAATAGGAGAATGTTAGAAGCTACAATCTATAGACAAAGACTGAAAGGTTTGTAGAAAGCAACTTCCAGTACACTTGTTACAGTGACCTGTAACCTCTGGAAAGGAATGTTACAGGTTTTATACAAGTTTGAGCTCAGTTTCTAATATAAGCATCAATAAGATCCTGTCGTTTACGTTGGATAATAACTTCAGCAAGTTCCTCAGTTTGTAAAAACAAACAATAATTGTGTGTATGCTTATGTATTTACAGTTGAAGTCAACAGTGCACTTCGTCCTGGAGGGAATTTGAAGCAGTAATGTGAAGCATATTTTTGTTACAACACTTAGGCGAAATGTGTCATTTCAGCGGCAATAAATGGACTTGTAAGACTGCTTGTTTTCAAACAGGTTGTGTTGCTGTGTTCATCAGGATACTGGAACAAACAAGTTAAGATGTAGAAGTTAAAACGTACACTATTGTTTAAAAGTTTGAGGTTGATACGATTTTTTTAACGTTTTGGAAAAAAGTTTCAGCAAGATTTTGCATTCATTATAGATAGAAAAATTGCGGGAAAACACCTGGTTAGTGTATAGTTTGCTGAATAGATTTTAATTGCATTATGACTATAAACTCAGTTTTAGCTTGTTTTTGCAAACTGACATACATGTAGAATGTATTTGCTGTGTTAATCGACAACATGTCCCAGAGTTTAAAGGAATAGTTCCACCAAAAATTTATTTTGAATTTGAATTGGCTGAAAATGTACTCACCCTCAGGCCATGCAAGGTGTAGAAGAGTTTGTTTCTTCATCATAACAGATTTGGAGAAATTTAGCATTACATCACTTGATCACCAATGGATCCTCTGCAGTGAATGGGTGCCGTCAGAATGAGAGTCCAAACAACTGATAAAAACATCACAATAATCCACAAGTAATCCACACCACTCATCATTTAACATCTTGTGAAGTGAAAAGCAGTGTGTTTGAATTTTAGCTGGAAGCAAGAGTTTAAAATATCTTAATGATGGAATTGTTTCTTACAGACACTCAGCTTTTCACTTCACAAGATGTTAACTGATGGACTGGATTTGTGTGCATTACTTGTGGATTATTGTGATGATTTTAGCAGCTGGTTGAACTCTCATTCTGACGGCACCCATTCACTGCAGGGGATCCATGATGTTGAATTTCTCCAATTCTGTTCCGATGAAGAAACAAATTTATCCTCAGCTTGGATGGCCTGAGGGTGAATACATTTTCAGCAAATTTTCATTTTTGGATTAACTGTTCCATTAAGTTGAATTGAACCTTGAACATTCCTATAAGGATGCCGGATGCTTTAGATTTAGTAAAGTGAACCGCACCGGGGAAGTGAAACCATGAGACCCTTTCTTGACAATCTTTCTAATAGGGGTTGAATCAGCAGGGGTTGATTAACCTAGAACAATAACAATAATGCCAACAAGAAAAGTGTGTCTGCGACTCGAGCTCGTTAGCATCCCAGCATCCCCCTCTCCTGCCTCGCTCAGGTATGGTTTCAGGGGGTTAATCGGTTAACCAGAGGAACAGAGAGTAGGGGGGCCTGGCTACCGTCTGGGAGGTGGAGGTATGCTCTCGGCCGCTTTGTTCTGACTTTCATATACACGAACAGGAAGTGATGCGAGGTGCACAGATATGCACATGTCATCTGCATTTGTCTGTGAACAATGGATTTGCACCTAATCCAGATCAATTTTAAGTTGAAATTGTCCTGGTTTCTGCATCACATATGCAGGGCTGTTTTTACACCTTTCTACTGCCTTGGTCAAATTACTGTGTAAGTTTGGCTCATATGGACTTCTATTAGCGTGAATCTAATGAAAACTGTCAAGGCATGTCCAGGTCATATTTCACCCCAAAAAAATAAAAAATAAAATAAAATATTTAGCATAAAGAAAATAGTTACATTTTTAGATAATAATATTTTTTGTACTGTACCAATTATTTTCATAACAATTAAGCAAATTTATCCCCCATACAACCACCCACCCCCCTACCCCTTCCCATCGTCGGTATGTTGCTTTGGTGCAGAAAAAAATCTCATTCCCATTACTGTAAACCAAGCAAAAATATTATTTCAATTGTGAAGTACAATTCTAAAAACACATCATATTTGTTGTACTGAATTTAATTAATGCCATTTATATAAAAAAAATTCTGTGTCTAGGTAAGATGGCTATATTACATTTAACGAGATATGACCATATTACATTTAATGAGAATCAAATTTTTCAACATTATAGCTGGAGTCTTCAACAGGGCGTCCACCAGTTGTTGTTTGATCTAAAACTAATGAAATATACATTAAACAAAAATTTATTAATTTAATCAAAACTAAATTTAGCAAAATTGCTGCATTACTATAATGGGAATTCTTCTCTTGTCATGAAAATAATATCACATTAAAAATCTACTAAAAATGCTTCAGTTTATTTTATTTTAGCTTAGCTTAGCTTAGCTTAGTTTAGTTTGCTGTCAAATGTAACCCAGACATTTCTTTGTGAAATTGAAATATATTTCAAAGTTCATTATAACTTCAGCTTAGCATTCTCACAGGATTCTACAAACGTATGATCTGAAAATAATTTGAATGAATCCGTATGTGTAGAAACCTCAGTAATGAAAAAAAAAAATAGTTTTATGTAAGACATTTTTCAAGTCATTACACATCTCTCCTGACTTCAGGTCCTCCTGGGAAACGTGGACGGATGGGCAGAAGAGGAGACCCTGGTGAGTGCAATCTCTTCATTTATGTTCCTCATGCCTGATGTCTAGCACTTTTCTGTAAACATTGTTACTAGTGTGCTTAATTCATAAACATTAGATGTGACTGGGAGGAAGTCCTCATTGAATGTGGTTTTGATTCACCGTAGACCCTCAGATGATTCAGAGGTATTAAACTCAGACTGATGATGACTCGGCCATACAAATTAAGATGGTGATGTATTTCTTAGTGAGCTGTGCTGTAGTCACACACATAGCTCTCAAGGGCACAGATTGAGAGAGGTTTTAATGAAAAGAATGATTCATTGTCACGTCACTTGCGGAGAAGCCATCAGTATAGCTTGTTAAATTTAAGAAGGTGTCCAGATAATGTTTTGCCTAAAAACATCTGTTATCTTTGGATAATGTTTATACAGCAGAACCTATATTCACCTTCTGACCATATCCGATTAAATCTGAGATTGCAGCGTTCCCATACAACTGGCATTCGGACAGAATGACAATTCTTTACATCTGTTTTTCAAACTTGTTCCAGCCCTGCTGCCCTGGGAGAGGAACTTCAAACGTTGGCAGAACACTTTATTTACATAGAGATAGTGGGTCATTTTGTCACTAAGTCTGCTGGATGTGGTTCTGTTTAGCTGTGCCTGATTGTTGTAGTTTGGGTCGTGAAGCGAGCAGGAAGAGTCGAATGTTGAGACAACACCATTGCACAACAGTCTGTTTGTTTCTCTAGTGTGAGGGAGAAAATATGGTTGGAAAGCTGGAAGATATTTAGCAGACTAATCAACGCAAACATTAGGCAGGTCGTATGCGTCCATGATAATTCAAAAGTTAAAAGCGCTCATTTAATTAGAACCCTCGTCAATTAAATGATGAATCTTTTTACTAAACAACTTTGATGTTCTCAATTAAACTGTAAAACGCATACTCATTATTTTTCTCTTTCAACATCTTACTTTTAAATGCTTTCCAAATGGTGAGGCCATTTCGTTCACAATGGTCAGAACTTGACTGTGCTGAGTGAATGTTATCTTTTAAACTCTTAAAGGGGTGGTTGACTGGTTTTTTTATAGGCTTGATTGTGTTTATGGGGTGCAGTCTAACATGTGTTAATGCTTCGTTTGTTAAAAAACGCATTATTTTTCACATAATTTACCTTTATTCCACACCTCTCTGTCCCTTCTCCTCTGAACGCGCTGATCATTTCCTGCTTTTATGAAGCCCCTCCCTCAGAAATACACGATGGGCTCTGATTGATTAGCTAGCCTAGTGTGTTGTGATTGGCTAAACCGCCTCTAGCGTGCGTCTAATGTCCCGCCCCTCACCATAGCGGCATGTGCTCCAGTTGTATTGTAAACAATGACGTCGTCTATATTGCTTATCAATTTGAGCCCGATCGAGACACAGAGGATATTAGTGAAGAGGATCGCGCAGAACCTGTGCAAGCACGGAACCACCCCTTTAAGAGTCTGCCAGCATCTAGACGTGAGTAAATGCCAACAACTTTCTGCCTCGTGAAACCTCAACACATCTTTTAAACCTCTTTTTCTACTCTGAGGTTCATGCGCTTACCTGATGAACATTTCAGGAAAAAAAGGTTTAGAGGTTTACCTTTTGTTAAAAAAGTGGACGTGTAATTTTGTGTTATTATTGAAGTTAAACTGAAAGTTAAAAGACATTTGGATTGTTTTAAATGTCTCTTTGTTGTTCTTCTTTTATTTTTCAGGACCCCCAGTAAGTACCCTGTCCTCACACTTCAAAATAATGACATGTAGCAGATATGGGCTCTGTATTGTGGTAAGGCTGATAAAACGTTTAAAAGGTGAGACATAAAACCCGAGAAACGGCCTTCAAGTTCTGGAATCTTTCATACATCCTGAAATTTTTACATTTGAGAATATGTGCACCAGTTTATCTGACATTAAATTTCTAGAACCTTCAAATTTAAGCCTCTGAAAAATTAACATGCTAGAATTAGCATTCTTTTGAGATTCCAGAATAAAACTTAAAGAATAAAGTTCTGGAATATTCATTTCAGAGCAGCTGCAAGCTAAAAGCTAAAAGATTAGCCCCCGGTTTCACAGACAAGGCTTAAGCTAGTCCCAGACTAAAATGTATGTTTGAGCTGTCTCAGCTGAAAATATCTTGCTCTGACATATCTTAAAATATGTCAGTGTCATTGTTCTGTGTCAAGATACACACCTGTAATGTTTTCTTCTAAGGCATTTTTGTAAAAGTTGCTTAAATATATTAATTTAACTAAGGTCTAGTCCTGGCTTAAACTAAGCCCCGTTTGTGAAACCGGGCCCTGGTGCTTCTGATATTAAAGTTTTACAATATTCAAACCAACATTAAAGTTCTGGTATCCAACAAAAGTGTAACTCAGCATAAGAACAGGTTGCAAACTGTCTGTCACCTGCTTTAGATTTAGGTTAAAACCAAGTTGTCAACACCTTGTTGCAAATAGATATGTGACTTCTAATCCATATTTTAACAGGCTGTCATGAAGATTTCATTGATCTGTTTAATGCTCGCAGATGTCAAATTATGTGACAGCTTTCAACATTTCAACAGTTTAGGTTGGTTTGCTAACTTTCACGTTTAGTTTGTGGTCTTCTGTAGAGCAGAGGTCCACCACCGGTTTATTTACTCAGAAGTCTATTGCAATGTTAAGAAACCCTAAAACACTTCAAGTTTTCATTTATAATCCTGCAAAGTGCTGTTATTCCAACTAATAAACACATAAAACAGAGATTTACTTTGTGGAAATACTGACAGGTTGTGTTTCTCTATTAAAGTTTTGGAATGTGCAAGTACGTTCTTCAAGTTCAGATTGGTTAATAAGAATAATTTACAGTAGTTTACTTTTTATCACACTGGATTTTAAAATATTTGTTTTTTTTATGAAGCTGAACAGATTCTCTTGAGATTATGAAAACTGTCATGATGTTTACCTTGGGATTTGTAATCTTTTATTTTTTTTATCTACTGTAGGTCTATATTTATTCATTATATCTAATTTTTCTTTGCACAGGGCAAACCTGGGCGAGACGGTTACCCGGTAAATGTCCTTTAAATGATCTAATTTCTTCTTGGGTTTTAATCTCCATTTTATGGAGCTCTTTTTCTAATTGCTTCTATCACCTCCAGTTGACTTGCTGTTCATCTCTGTTTTTTTCATTTCTGTCTCAGTAAATATCTGTGCAGCTCAACAGCTAACAGAGAATGTTCACATAACAAAAAAAAAACAATGTTTTAGCAAAACGTTCTTAAAACAGATTTTTGTTAGCAGAGTCATAGAATATATATTTTTAAGAGGAACATGAATTAAACAGCTTATGCAGTGAGAGAAGTGTTAGTAATAGTGTCTAAAATAAGCACTAAAAAGTTTCAAACACTCTTCATCATCTACACCATCGTCTCTGACGAAGAATGAAACTCTTTCGTTGCTATTTCAGCAACATGGCCGATAATGATGCTGAGTTTCCTGGAAAGAGTGAAAGCACTCCTGGGCTCAATTACGCTGGTAATGGTGTTTCTCTGTTGAAACCACTATAGATTCATCCCTTTGGCTAAATGAGTCCGGGACAGCAGGCCAGAAACACTTAGGACTTTTACTTTATAATTTCCTGGTTTCTTGAACCCTGAAATGGAAAGTACTAGGAAAGCAGTTGGGCGTTTAAAAATGAATCGAGCGTAGACAAAACATCACATGTGAACTGTGACATATGGGCAGAGGTACTCCGATCTCTTAAAGTACAACACACATCTGATGATTGTTTTCTGATGACTGGACTTTGATTAGAGTAGTTTGTTTGTGTTCAACTTCAAATAAAAAGAAAAGACATTTGCTTGGTAAACTGTGAGTCATAATTGCATCTTGTATTTCATTTATGAAACAAGCCCCAGTCAAACAATCAATAATCAGTTTATGTATTTTTCAGCACCTCTGTTTATGTAGATACAAACATGAGATCAATTCTTGGGGTCCAAACAGATTTCCAATTGAATTGGATCATTGTTGTGATTGTATGATCTACTGTAGAAGTGGTCTGGTGGCCTCTAGTGGCTGTCAGTGGAACAGCGGACAGCAGAATGATAAGCAGCAGGCTGTTCTGGAACATGTCAAGGTGAACCTGGGGTCAGATTGTGGTTAGTCACAAAGCGAATGAGGCTTTGTGCCTTGTTTTGTCTGGATCTCAATTGTGGACCCCATGGTTTGGTTGGTTTGGCTCCAGATATCAAGAGATGTTTAGTTAACAGGCCTTACTCACCTCGCGGTGTGAAGTATGAGTTCAATAAGAGTATATTTGTCTGGGAGTTCTGAGTAAGCCTTACTGTGCCTCTTTAGCCAATTATACTGCAGATATTATTTATTACATTACCACTTCCTGTCTCTGTACCCATTATCTCTACTATCGTTGCAGTAAATCATAGTGATGTCTGTACTGATATGCTGTGGCGTATCTGCTGTAAGATCAGCCTCTAGATAACAGTCTATGCCAGGCTGGGTCAGTCATGCCCAGCAAATTAGTATCAGAGGTACACTCATGGTTTTCCTAGAATTGTACGTCTGCCGGGAAAAGTCTGTGGTTAATTATAGACAGGTGTGTGTGTGTGTGTGTGTGTGTACATGCTACAAACACTCATTCTTGAGACAAAGAAAAGTCTGGGTCATATTTCGCTCTAAAATCAAAAGAAGTGTTTTTTTTAATTGTTTATTTTGTATATATGTAAACATATGTATACATTTTTATGCAAAAATAAATACAGGAATAAAATCTCATGCTCATTACTGTAGTAAAGTAATTAAAGTCATGTTCAGACACAATGAAATCAATGAACTGTTCATTTAAATACACTAAAATCATAAATTAACTTTATTTATTACAATAATGGGAATGCTCTATTTGCATAAATAAATTAAATGTATGTATTCAATCCTTTATAGTAAAATAGCTAATATAGTAATGAAATTCATGCTGTTCAAATACATTATTAATTAATTAATTAATTATTATTATTATTATTATTGTTATTAAAATCTATTTAATTACAGTTTCATAAACATACATTTAAATTACATTTTATTTATTTATTTATTGCAATAATGGAAATGCTATATTTTTCATAAAGAATTAAATGTATTTTTATATATTTTAAAAAACATATATAAAAAGTAAAATGTTTAAATGTGACCTGGAAATTGCATTATCTGAGATTTATTTATTTAGTTATTTATTGCAATGATGGGAATGTGATAATTTTCATAAACAAATTAAATGTATTTTTTATATAGTTTTAAATGATATAAATGTAAATGCACATTAAAATTATTTATTACACGGCTCTGAGGAAATCTTGATTCTGATTGGTCAGTCGCAACATTCCGAGGTATGTTATCCCTCGATAACAACCGGTAAAAACTAATAACACAGGCTCATCCGAGTAACTGAAGTCAGCGCTATACTCTTGCCAGGAACAGTTTTTTCTTAGTGGAAGCTTTGCGTTTGTTTAGCTAATAAAATATTAAAACTCAATTCTCAAAACTCTGCTTTGCGTCGGGGTCCTGATCACCCTGTTGGGGGTTATTCTGCAATAACAACCGGCTGGATGTACATTATCCCCTACATATATAACTGAGGTTAACTCCTATACAGTATAGGATTTAGACACACTCAAAAAAAAAGACACCTGAGGCTACACTGGCACTTTGTTTGGCCTCATTGGGCTCAATAGTAGAACACCTCACTATGTGTGAGTGGATCGGATTTCCTAAACTGGAGCGTGTCCATTAGCATCTGCCAAGCATCTGTAGCATCTGGAACAGAGCGACAGGTGCGTGTGTGAACTCGCCCCAAATCCACATCCTTTATGGTGTACAACGCAATCTCAAAATGCTTTCGGCCAGCAACTGTGAAACGTACGCTAGTGATTTCACTCTATTCACCAGCAATAGCCATCTTTTAAACAATCCCCTTTACTCCCTCACAACATGATTGTTCTTATCCTGTAAACTGGTTTGACACACAGTTTGTGTTAACTTACGTCATATGGTGAGGATTATTAATGACAAAAAGCAGATGATTTCAAGTAAATATAATTTACATCGTTACACTAACCGTAAGGAGTTTAGTTGATGAGCAACAGGAGCCAAACAGGAAGTGTACGCATATACGTTTGATGGAATCCAGTTAGATCCAGGTTAATTCTGTTCTGTAAGTGCACTGGGTTAATGTTACTCACATATGGGAACACAACATGTGTGTAGATGCTTTGCCATTGTTCTTATAAGCTCAGGTGGTGCCCACATGCTGTCTGTGCTCATTTGAGGCTGTGATTTGATTAGCGGTATCATAAACAGACTGTATTACATGCAGACGCTGCTGAGAACGGCTCTCATGAGACTGTCGTTTAGGTTCTCTCATAAATGATCCCTTTGGATTTGAGCATGTGATGGATAGGGTGACTCTTTTTTTCCAAACATGTCCTGGCCAGGATTTCTAAACTCCCTAAAATGTCCTGGTTTTGGCTTTGTTTTATTGTTTTCATACTTGCTGAAGGTAAGAACTGAAAAGTATAGTCTGACCAATACATATAATCGACCAGTCATCAAATGCAAAAAGGTGGGATTTACAGAAAATAAATAACATCAATGTACTAAAAATGGAGACATTTTTCCTTTGCGTTGCTGAAAATGTCAGAACGATCTCATTCACACAGATCTGCGAAAACGACTAAAAATGCTGTATTATGCATGCCAGGCCAGTATTGGCGATGCCACTGTAAAGAAATACTATGCATCTGCGTACATACCTATAGATTGAACACATAATGCGCATGAGGTCACTGTTTTCACATTTTGCAGTTTACGTGGAGATGATAGCAGTATAGTTTTCAAAAACTTTCACTTTGAAACCCATTTTCAAAATTTAGCATTTTCAGGTCACCAAAATGCATTAAAAGTTTTCTATTTTTAGTTGAAAATGGAGTCTTGTAAACAGCCCCTTAGAAATCATACTACTGAATGATGGAGATTGCTTGTTAAGAAAGATCGAGTTGTACGAGTACACAAGGCACTTTTATTTTCTCCAGAAAATGTAAAAATCTATTTTACCTAGAAATGTCTAGTATAACAATTCTTGTTACGGAATAACGGAGCAAAAATATGCCATATGAAGGCTTTTCATGAATATTCTAGACATGGTAGTGTTTCTTTTTTGAAATCCAGGAACATCTTTCTTGGCAGCCCGGTGGGAGAGAAGTGGATGTCACATGTCCCAAAGTATTTCCATGTACTTGAAGTATAAAGCAGTCCAATAAATGATATTCCCTTCAGAGAAGAAAGGAGAACAGAGAGACGTGGAGAGTTCATGGACATTGGATCCAGATGAGGGGTCGTCTCGCCTTGAAGAGCCACACAGGGATGAGATTGTGGTTGTTTCAGGCAGAAAAATTAAACCTGAACAACAAGGGGGTTTGCATTGTATGCATCTCTAGCCGCTGTCCACTTCAGTTCCTTATATGATTGGCCTAATCTCTTTTTTCATTTAAAAAATGGAATGAATCATTGATGAATTCATAATCCAATTAATATTTAATTTTATTACATTTGCGTAATCCATGAAAAAATTGATATATATATATATATATATATGAATTATATAAATATAAAATAATTATTAATTAAATTGTTAAGACAACGATATAACACTGAAATTCAATTAGAAACGTCATTTCTTTAAGTTTTGTGATGTACATCTTACAGTATTGGATGATCAAAAATGTAAAAATGTACGGACAGGGACTTTTGAGATGTGGGTGTTGTTGTCGCTTGTTGTCGATTGTTAAGATGCAGGGTTTCACTGGAAGATCGAGTTATATTTTAATTAAACATAATGAGGTCAAAAAAAGTAAATTGTAAAAAAGTAAAAATGAAACACATACATGGATTAATTAATTGTCCACAATAAGATCTATACAAAATAGATTTTTTACAAAATAGATGCTGATTATTTTTGTCTTGTTCGTCTAAAATGTAGGTTTATGGGGTTTGTGATTACATTTTTTGCAACAGTTTGCAAGTGGGATAAGAAAAATCCTTAATCAAATTTAATTTGATATATATTCTCTGAAAACAAGTCTTATTGTCTTGTGCAATATTCTTCAAGTAAATCACGTTTAGATATTTTTACTGGAAAAGTTGCAGTGCATTTAAGGGCTTAACACCAGATATTGGCAATGAAAGATGGGACATTTCTATACTGTCCAACCCAAACACAATCTCTTAAGTAGGTGAAGGCAGTCAAAACCCGTGAAAGATTCTTTTGATTAAAACATTTAAGTCTTGATTTGACTCAAAGGGCCTATCGATACAATCCCTCCAGATTTCCCACAAAGCACCATTGAGCCCACCACGAAGTCCAGTTTTAGCAGGAATGCTTTTGTAGGCCTGAACTCAAAGCATTTCGATTACCCTGTGATGAATTTATGATTTATAGCAAAGTTGAAAAACTTTAACACTGGCAAAGGGCAGCAGACAAAAAAGTCATTATTTCATTTTCTCGAGGCTTTACTGGTAATCTGAATCCTCTTTCTCAGTCCTTTGCACTTTGTGGTTAAATAAATGTGGTAAATCTGTGCTACTTTGGAATGTTTTCCTGCTGTTCCTCCTTGGAATTCAGCGGTGCAAAATAAAATATCCAGGATTAATCTTCTTTTAATTGTTTTATAAGAGGTTTTTTCTTGGAGGTTTTGTACTTAGTTTGGCCAGCCAATATGTTGCAGGAGAGGAATGAAAAGCAGGTTTAGGAATAACGGATGGATTTTATTTTTTCATGCTTACCTTCACTCTTCAGGGGGTCATAAATTGAGTTGTGTTAGTTCATGTGTGGCATCCATATGGACCTTCAGGTGCGAGGCAGATAGCAGGACGTTTGGAAATTTGAAGGATACATTCTTGGATCATAATGTGAGTGATGTTTGTCCATGAAAATTCAAGAGTGGCTTCTTTTTTGGTAGTGTTTCTGGGATTTCTGAGGAAGAAAACCTTTAATACCCCAATAATTTTGATGGAGTATTCAATTACAAATGTAAGAGTCTTTGGCCCTGAGGGTCAACAGATTGAGACCCAGCAATAGTGACCAGTGGGAAGACCGATCTCCTCCTCACAATGATGAACTTAAAGGGTCTCAGACCCTGAGTACTATGGTCATAAATCAGAGTTAAATGTCTTAGCCGATTCATTAATTTCTCTTGGAGGAAGTCCGCTGGCATTGACCTGTGCACATGGTGTCTGCTCAGCATGAGGAGACACTGCAGAGAGCAAGCCATGTAAATGCTCCCAGATGTATGATTAGAGCTTCTAGCACATCCTTAACATACCTCTGGGAATGCTTAAAATCAGGGATTGTTTATTGTCCACAATGGACTCGTACATCTTTTGTCTGTTTATTCAAAGGCAGAAGCTTAGCATTCGTTATTTTAGCCCAGGATGTTCCCTTACTTTTGGGTACAGACACTTCATTGAAGTTTGAAGGGCCTGTCACATTTCATACGCACGCAAACACGTGAGCACCAATTTTTCATTTGGTGAACTCTGGCCTGCAAATTCCTATAGTTTTCTGAATGCCACTTATTTTGAATTATTTTCAAAGAATGACATGAAGGAAATACAGTACAGTTTCTGATTAATGCACGTTTAAAATACAAACTTTAATAAGAAAAGCTACTTTGAAAAAAATGGGTTTAGGATTTACTCTGAAATAATTTTTTATCATGATTTTTCAGTTACAAAGAACATTAAGTAACACATGAAATTTTGAAGTAGAAAGACTGAAATATTGTTTTCTTGTCAAATGTACTGCAATAACCTGTTTTATTTATTTTGAAAAATCATTTTTTTACATGAAGTTTTGGTGAAATGGAGTAGATGGTTTTTTAACACTTTGAACTAATTATTAGTGTTGTTTGCTAATATATGCATCACTGTCACCGTTGCTCATGCTTAGTGTTAGTTGTTAACAAACCTCTAATCCAAAATATTAAAATTTAATTTGTTTTCTGTGATTGTAGATCATTGTGAGTACTAGCAGCAAATCATGAGTGTTTGAGTGACTAGAGAGCTGATCAAACTATATTATTTTAGGCTTACCTGTGGCTCTACACCAATCAGATTGAGAGGGAGAGGGAGATTTTAAATTCAATGTTCTGGGTTTTACAGATAGAGAGGATGTTGTTGGTTTCAGGCTGTGCTGCACGCTTCTCTTACCTGTATAGTCTCTCAATCTTTCCTAATTGCTACTTTCCTTTCCTCCCTGCAGTAAAAGCAGTAGTCCAATTTGAGTCCAATTTGACTCTACACTCTAAAAAAAACCATGGTTCTTTGAAGGTTCTTTACACATTGTTCTATTTAGAATCACATTGTTCCGAAGAACCCTTTTATGCTAAAATTGTTCTTTGTAGAGTTTAGGATTCTTTGTTCCAGCCCTTTAAAAAAATATATATATATATCTTTTTTTTAATCTTTAACTGTCAAAATTCTTTCAAAGCCACCAACTTTTTAATCTTCTGGAGTTCGATCAACCATCCAACTACACATTGGTCTTGGGGGGCCATGACACCGTTCATCAGGATTGTGTGTTTTTTTTATTTTTTATTTAAATGCATTTGTTATGACAAGTCTGAGTGACCAACTTGCAGGTTGCAACAAGGTTTATGTTCCTCTCTCTGTTTCCAAAACTTGTTTATGCATGTGTGATATCATGTTCCCCCTTTTTCCACCCTAACACGCACACAAAAAAGTGGGAATAAACTGAGGGTGCATTTTTGATGTGGGATTGTCACAAGCTTTTGAGACAACTTAAAAAGGGCCAGAAATTGTACAGATATATGTTTCAAAGTTCAAAGGTCTCTGGCATTTTGATGACCTCCCACAATTCATTCAAAAGTATGTGATTTATCTGACACTGCTACTTTTAGAATAAGTCTAGGTGTTTCATGACACTTTTAAATCGGACTTCTCACCTCTGACATCAGAACAAAAATAAATCCTGTAAGGTCACCTTTTTCACAACTACTCAGATGAGTGTCTATACTGGACACTAGGTTGCTCCCATTACAGTCCCACACAGTCTATGGAGCTTTCTGCAAAATAAAAGTAATAATAACTTATTTTATACTGCCAATTTGGCACATCCTTTCTATTTTTGACAGCTGCACAGCTTTTAATTTCCTGGTCTGACTAAAACTGATTTTAAAACAACATAAATGGACTACGATGGATTTTATTTGTTAAATATTGAAATGACTTCTGACAATTATTTATTAGATTGTCTTTTATTTATAGCCATATGTATAATGCGCATATCTGATTAGTATAACAGATAAAACACATGAACAAGCCAAGGCTACTACAATGCCCAACTATTTTTCTAGATCATTGATTACCCTTGCATTTGAATCTTTACTAAGTCTGTAAGTCTAATCTTAAATTTTGGTTGCAATAACAAGATTTTATGTTGTAAGTCAAAAGAAACGGGTCTGACTCCAGTCCTCATCCTAAAAATAAAGGAATGACATCATGGCCCAACATGATCATTTTGATTTAATTCTATGTTTCTCTCCTGATCTTTATCTTTTGATTTACCCCTCACACTTCCCTTCAGAGTCTATCTGCACTTTCCCTTTTTATGACCAGCTGTATGGAGGACTCCTGTGGTTTAATCGTCTGTTTTCTCTTTTTCCACTGTTCAGGGTCCACTTGGTCTGGATGGCAAACCTGTGAGTATTCCCGAGCTTTAAAGAGACAAGATGAGAATGTGTGTGTGTGTGTGTGTGTGTGTGTGTGTGTGTGTGTGTGTGTGTGTGTTTGTG